TCCACACCAGTCATGATTTCATAGACTTCTATCATATCCCCTGTTAATCTCCTCTTTTCTAAGGTGAAAAGTCCAAGTCTTTTTAATCTCTTTTCATATGAGACCCATTCCAAACCCCTAATCATTTCTGTTGCCCTTTTCTGAACCTTTTCCATTGCCAATATATCTCTTTTGAGATGAGGCGACCACATCTGTAGGCAGTATTCAAGATGTGGGCGTACCATGGTTTTATATAGGGGCAATAAAATATTCTTGAATTTATTCTCCATCCCTTTTGTAATGATTCCTAATGTTCTGTTTGCTTTTTTTTGACTGCCGCTGCACGAGTGGATGTTTTCAGAGAACTATCCACAATGATACCAAGATCTCTCTCTTGAGTAGTTGTTGCTAAATTAGTCCCCATTATTTTATTTATATTGTTGCATGTATCAGGAGACTGGAAAGAATCACACCTGGAGGACAAGCTGCCAGCTGGCTTGTCTTATGAACAGGAGGTCACAGCGCACAATGTTCTGAAGTGATGAGATTTAGCTAAACCAGCGGTAAGCAACCTGCAGCCCACGAGCCACATGCAGAACATCAGAGTTCTTGTGTGACCCATGCTCAGGGTTGCCAGATCCCGTTGCTTCCGTCTGTGTAGGTTTTTTCCCTACCCCTATTACCAAAGTGACACACACATAAAGCAAGGCACGTGAAGCGAGGTGCGTGCGGATTGCACACGACATTCACTGTGAGAGCCAGGTGCTCCCTCTGCATCCCCTCAAAGCGCTGCCATGGTTCCATCCACACACCCCTCAAAATCTAGTTACACAACCACAGTTAGCAAAACTACCCTCTCCAGGGAGACCGTCTTGGTTAGAATAATCCTGCGGCCCACTGAGATGAAGGAGGGCTGCTTATGAGGCCTGCTCACTAGCCTAGGTTGCCCATCACTGTCGACACTACAGAGTTGTTTTGGAAAAAACTTCACTTACGTCCACACTGCAATTGCGTTCTTCCGAAAGAAAATTGAAAGAACAGACGGGTTTTTACAGCATTGGTAATCCTCTTTCTACAAGGAAATCCTCTTTCTCTTTCGGAAAAAGGTGTGTGTGGACAGGGAAGAGGGAGTTCATTCACAAGAAGAGGAAAGAGTAAAAAGCACAGGTGCCCTGGTGGCTACTCCGTCCATAGTAATCACAGCTTACATGCGAGAGAGCATCCATTCAGTGTGGATGCTATCTTTTGAGAAAGCACATCGCTTTTTTGATGCACGATGGCAGTGTGGACGCTCTCTTTCGGAAGCAGTTTTTTTGGAAGATCTCTTGCAGAAAAGCTTCTTCTGAAAGAAGCCTGCAGTCTAGACATAGCTTGAGTTGCATTCTATGAGACAAGAGGGTGCTGCATTAGATAAGTTTAGACTCAGGGGCTATGTCTACACTACGGCACTAATTCGAACTAACTTAATTCGAATTAGTTAATTCGAACTAAGCTAATTCGAATTAGTGCATCTAGACCTAAAAACTAGTTCGAATTAGCATTTTGCTAATTCGAACTAGCATGTCCACACTGAGTGGACCCTGAACCGAGGTTAAGGATGGCCGGAAGCAGTGCCGGCAGGACATCAGATTAGAACTTAGAGCGTGGAGCTGCTGTCTCAGGCTAGCCGAGGGCTGTGCTTAAAGGGTCCCGACC